GGTGTCGTATTTAAACACATCTTTGGCACATTAGACGAAGATGACGCCAAAGATTATGAGAAAGCAGTCGAAGCGTTGTATAATAACGACAAAACACTAAAAGAATCCATTAGAAAGGCTGTAATGATCTCTCAGTCGGCAATACACAATATAAATCAATCCTTACATGAACTGAATGTTAACGAAGCAAAATTGTATGACGTCATTGAAGGTTTATCGCAATCTGTAAATAATGTATCTAATGTTGTTAACTCACTTAGTTTTAAAACCAGATTTAATAATGCTATGAATGTTTTAGAAGCTCACTTACTCACCATCTCAGTTAAGATTGAGGATCTACTGAACTCTATTTTATTTGTAAAAAGTAATACACTGCATCCTTCTATATTGAGCCCAAGTCAAATGTATAATGATATTGTTAAAAACTTGATGTTATTACCTAAGTATAAGGAATTTCCTGTAAACCTAGAAATAAGCAATATTCATGTCCTAATTAATACAGCAGATCTAACTTGTTATTATTCAAATAAGAAATTGATGTTCATTGTAAAATTACCTTAAGTAAGTCTGCAACAATACAATGTGTATAAAACCATACCATTACCAACTCCACATGTCAACGGTACCTTAAACTCTTTTGCTGTGATCATCCCGACTGGACAGTTCTTAGCTATTTCTAAAGATAAATTGTCATATACTTACCTAAAAGATTTAAATAATTGTAAAAGTATACTTACCAAAACTTACCTTTGTGAAACTGCTGACATCTACGCAGTTCTTAACAATCCTTCTTGTGAAGTCGAAATAATTACTAAAGCTTTGACTTCCATTCCTAATACCTGTTCTTATAAATTCATAGCAGGAGAAGTAGATATTTGGCATAGATTAAATAATAATAAGTGGATATTTGTCCAGTCAAAGCAAACCAAACTATCTGTTGAATGTAACAATGTTGTCTCCGAAAGTGTAATATCTGGTACAGGTGTACTGAATATTCCAAATGACTGTGTAGCTTTTTATAAAAATATTAAATTTGTAAGTAAAAATTGCCCAAGGTTAGATGTACCTGTTATAGAATCTAATTTTAATATAATTAATGATAGTTGTTGTAATTTCTACCGCTTTAATCAGTTAAGTTCTAATATTCCAATGTCTAAAATCAAAAGTATAAATTTAGATAGTCTAAATGACTTTAAGCGTGTTACAAATGATATATTATCTAAAGATTTGAACTTGGAAGTTCCGTCTTTCAATAACCATGTTAGTTTCCCTATTTTAAATATTTTATCTATAGTAATAACTTCTATTATAATTTGCTATTTTTGTATAAAAACTAAAGTCTTTAGAAAATGTTTTGTAAAAATCAATGCTGACACAACACCCACTTCCCAAGAGGAAACAGTAGAAGAACCAAATGTAACTGCCGCACCACGTTTGCGAATTATATAATTACGGAAACTTATTTTCCAATTTCCCATAAGTTTCCTCTTAGCGTGGGGGTTGTTATAAATAAGATATGTATGTAATATTGCAGATAGGGCTGCCAGACAGCTGACTAAGCAATATGGTCTCACGTCCGCGTCCAAGCCATCTTGGTTAGACAGTCGCATCACAGCCCTACTCGCGAGCGGTCATTTCTAACTGAATAAATAGTGTGTGAAAATAAAATCTCTTTTTTAAAAAGACATCCGAAGGGTCCCGTATAACAGAACGCAATAAAAGACTTCGTCGGAGGGTAGACCGATATGTCTGCCAATAACAGCCTACCCGCAATTACTCCAGTTACAACAAATATCGGAAAATCGCTAAAAACAAGGTACATGGTAACAATCCCGTAAATAACTTATCAATATGTGCATCTGAATTGAGTGATCCTTTTTTAGTTTTCAATAAAACCAAAACGTACATTTAGTTTAAAATTTTCAAAACTCATAACCGAAATCGAAAAATTTGTCACTCTCAGGCGATCGAAGATATTGCCCAAAAACAGCTATTTGGCACCTAAATTTATATTGATCATGCTTTGAATCAGTCTCTCTTAAAAATTTAATGTATTCTCTAATGTTTTCATCTGTGAGATTGTTTATGTCTTCTTCAATATGTTTGTAGTGGTTGCATCCTAAAGCATACATTACTGAATCAAAGTGAAATGAAGTTTTATCTGAAAAAAAATGAATCTGTATAGAAATGTTGATGAGCTCTAAGTTTTGGACGTTTCATTAATTAAGAAGAAGTTTTTTTATTATGGATATCTTGACAAATATCACATATAGCAAGTTCGAATTCTCTTTCTAAATATTCTAAAGAAGTTTTTATAAATTGATCGATTCGGTATCTCAATAGTTCTGTATTAAAAATTAAATTTTTAATGTTTTAAAATGACTTTCAGCGGCTGATGAAGAGCGAGATTTGTTTTCTGTTTTGATGCTGATTAATTTTTTACTGATGAAGAGGTAAATGGAAAGCATTAATTTATATGATGTGCCCGAAAGGATTTTAATTAAAAATAGGTCCTACAGATTACTAGGAAGTATAGAATTTATACATTAAAAAAGAATCACCTATTTTTTTACATGTACTTATATACGTATTTTGCGATTTATAATTTCAATAAATAAGAAAAATGTTTATGTTTGTAGCCTTTAATTTTCAAAAATCGTATTATGGTCACTCTGCTGGTCTTTTCTTTTGACAATAAAATGAAAACGAAAATCTCGCGAATGAAATGACCTATTCAAATAAATTATATGCCAAATTTTAGTCAAAATATTGTACAAATTTTCAACCTATTTTGTGTATACTTTATACCAAGAGGTAGTTATCTACATGCGTTTATAATGATCACTCAGTTCAGCAAATTAAAAAAGGTTAAATTGGTCATAACTTTTTAACTATAAGCATTTGTGGTGTGTTATTAATTTGTACAGATAAGTATTTCCAAAAGTTAACTTCAATGTGATAAAAAAATATTATGCACTTCGCAAACATAACGCCGTATTTCTAGGATCACTCAATCTAAATGCGTCAGGATTGAGTGATCCAATGAAACTATCATAGATTCCTGGATTTACGTTGAAGTAACTTGATTTTTTGTAAAATAATGTGACAAATTCTGTACATTTTTTAATATCAAAATTTCGTTCACAACGTTAAAGTTTTCTGAGATTCAGCGTATACTATTTTGCCTAATGTCTGAATTGAGTGATCCACATTTTGGGCAATATATTCGATCGCCTGAGAGTGACAAATTTTTTCGATTTCGATTATGAGTTTTGACAATTTTAAACTAAATGTACGTTTTGGTTTTATTGAAAACTAAAAAAGGATCACTCAATTCAGATGCACATCCGTAAATTACTATAACAATTCTAATATTATGTATTTAACGTGCCATTAAACAATAGTCAAATTCAACTATGTATTAAACAACGGGGCCTAAGTATGTAAATTTTTGTCCCATACGTTCTACGAACAATACATTTATTACCCATAGTACAGTTGGTATATCATTAGTACTACAGATGGAAAAAACTACAAACGATCGCTTAGCTCTTCTACTACGGCCACAGGCCTTCCCTATGGATGGAAAAGGGAGATTGGGCCATAGACACACCACGCGGGCCCTGTGCGGATTGGCGGGTGCTAACGACTGCAGATGCAGCCGGGACCAACGGCTTAACGAGCCTTCCGGAGCACGGAGGAACTTAAGATAGAATATTTTTGGTCATCTATCCAATGACCAACCATTGCGAAAGATACTTAACTTCAACGATCGCAGCCGAACGCGCTAACCACCCGTGCCATCAAACTCCTCGTTTGCTTTTATACTTGTTTATACTATAACTTTTCTTAATAACTGACCTGTGCCACTAGGTACATAAAAAAGGAAACAAGATAATCGCAACGCAATAAAACATAATATTATCATTCGCTGCGATGTCATATGGCACACCTTGACACAATAATATATATAAGCAAATACCACATATCAGTTCATTGTATAGCAAACGACAATAATAGGACAATAATGGTGAATTTGCTTTGTCACGTTATTAAAATTCGCTTCCATGCGCTAGAAAGAATTAACCATACCAAGGAAACAACATATATTTCACTGTTTCGCATTAATATAATATATTTTTTCGCATTAGTATATATAATTGATTGAGTCTCAAATCGTCCTTAATATTATAATTAAAAGCTTGTTCGTTTGTTACTCAAAAACGGCTGGACGGATTTGGTTGAATTTTGGTACTTATATAGTTTATTATTACCTGGATTGAGAAATAGGATACTTTTAATGCAGAAAAAGTTTAAGGTTCCCGATGGATACCCAAAAAACTAAAGTTAACGTTTAATTCAACGTTAGTTTATTTAAAAAGGAAAAAAAATATAAATTTAGCTTTCAAAATAAACCATAAAAGGCAAGCCATCAGGAATCACGGTGACGCATTACATTACATTGAATTTATTACATAAGCACAAGCACTGATAGAAACTAAGTCAAAGCAAGCGTTTTTAGTAATTTGACCCCAACTTTAATTAAATTTTAGATTAAGGCAGCGTTGTTTCATCCAAAGTTAAATTTGACTGTAGTTAACATCACGTCAAATACGTCAAATACTACAATACTATAATATAAAATTTTGCAAATGGTTAATTATAATTATTCTAAAGTACCTTATTTAACTATAGTCACATATAGAGCCTACGCAGCGTTAAGCTGGAGCACGGAGCGGGCGTCCGCTCCGCGTGTTTGTTTCATATTATTTCATAGAGCTGCGCTGAGCTGTTCTATGAAATGACATAAAAACTTAAGCAGGCCGGTTACTATGTATCAAATGACGCGACCTTAGAGATGGCGTGAAAGTATGTAGCTATGTACCTATATTCAAAGCGAGCCATTTATCCTAGCTTATATAATTATAATAAACGTGCTTTTCTTTAGATTAAACATTAATAATAAAAGCAAAATAAACGTATAAATGAAACAACACATACAAAATTATAATTTATTATTACTTTATGTAATGCTAGTATAAAGTATAAAAGATTTTGAGTATAAGTTGAGAGCACTTAGAGATTTCGAGATACATTGTCGCATACATAAATATGTATATCAAAAAAGTAAATATCCATGTTATTATACTATGCTTCCATAAACACAATATACAGACAGGAAGTTGTTATAATGATAAAAGCGTGTAAAATAGAATCAAGCAAATATTTCAATAAAACTGTCACATTGTCTACAAAATCAGCTCTGGTTTTTCCTTATGAAAAAACCAAAAAAGTGAAAATCTTCTTTCTAACTCAATACTAAAAATTGTTGGATCACAATATACGCTGAACAACCATGCTAGGACATCTACGATTAATTAAATGAGATAGAAACAAAAAAATACACAACATTATTTGTAAAATAAAAAGAATCACAAAGTAGAGAGCATTACATTGCTACCAATTATAATTCGTTGTCAAATGAATTTTACTATCGCCATCATCCTAAAACTGTTTTAGTATACCTACATAAATAAGTGGACGGGGACTTCTAAGCGGCAGTACTTTTAATTTGATTCAATTCAGAATTGACGTTTACAAATGACCACCAGAAATTTTATATCACTCTCGTCGCTTTTATATTAAATAAGGTCATGTGACTCATATCTTTTCTATAAACAGAAAATATCAATATGCATTTACCACAAATAGTTACTATAAATTGATGTTGGGATGCCACCTTTAAAAACATCTCAATGGAGTTATAATTCTTCCAATAATTTGAATTGTCTCATTATCTTAATAAATTTTCACAAATTGAACCTCTACCTATTAACAGTTAAGTCGACTATTGCATGGCAAATATAAATATATTTCTGCGATTTATGTAGTTTTTCGAAATGTAAAGGTAGGTAAGTAAATTTTGTACTAAATTATTGTTACATCCATCAAATTGTTTTAATTAATATAATTTACATACACATACATTATTAAGAAAATACAAACGTCCCACCAAATGTGACTGTTTAGAATACACAAAAAAAAACGTTTTTTTTTATTATAGAACAATTAGGTACACAACCCAAATTTCACATCAGTTCATATAATATATACCACAACACCTGATTGCTTAAAAGTTTTTAAAACTACAATTTATTTCTTTAAAAAGCAGCCTTGTTTTCTGAGATTCTATCTCAAAAGGGACGAACAATATCACTGCATACTGAACTATCAAAAGTCTTGATAAATACTGGCCAATCGTAGACAATTTATTGTCTTTGTTATATTTAATCAAACGTATCACGTTTCCAACATCGATAACGAAGCTATTTCAAAATCGCTTACAAATCCACAATACGACGACAAAATATCACGAAACTATATAGTCCCTATGTTGCTTCGAAAGATATTGCTTTCCATAGAACCAATGTAAAGTACATTTACATTGTGGCATGTGGAACGAGAAAACTGAAGACTTACATTAAGATACATAAAGATTATCCCTTTAAAGGTACACAATATTATTAGAGTATATAAACTAGATTATATATCGTTATTATGGCGAAGGATACATAATGACAACCACGACCTGTTGACTGTAAATTTTCAACTCCACATGACTTCGTTTTTGGGTGGGATACACACAAAAATTTTATTGCTTCAATTTTCCAACATCATGTGAAGTTGGAGACAACAATATACTAAAATTGTAAGGCGGGCTGGGTATAACTTAGATACTATGAGAGCTACACTAGAAATGTCATGGACATACAGATCATAATATTAATGTATAAATAGACATTTTATATTTGAGCACAAACTTCTAAGAATAATTAAATATAACGTATGGAATGTTTAGATTTTAAACTTGGAATGTGTTTGAAATAAGGAGTATTAACCGAGGGAAATTGTAAACCCGCATTATAAGCCTTGTACAATTGATTCTTCAATAATATCATTTGTGAGATTACATAAACATTGCATAGCTGAATTAAAGGAATAACACGAGAGTTCAGACAATCGACACCAGTAAACTACGTAAAGACCTTGAAAAAATTGTGATTGGTCATATACATACATTTGTATGTTTAATGAATGACAACATCAACTGAAAGGATCATCTAAACTCCACCAGTCCAGAAAATACATTTGCAAACAGATATGCGAGGACATAACCTATTTGCCACACATTTTGAGTATTAAAAACATATTATTTATAACTTACGAAATTACAACATCCTGAACGCACACATAAGCAATGGTATATAAAAATATTAATGTACGGATGCATTCACGATGTTGCATTTCACAAAACAGGTGCGTCTTGATCACGTTATATAACTTTACTATAATGTAAAGAGCATTGGTATAAAAAAAATTTGGTAAAAAATATTATAAATGCTAAACCTATATACTCGTATATTATACAGCTACCAAATCATGGAATGTTACTTAAGATTTTAAAATAATCTCCTTTTAATATCATTGTTTTCTTCAATTAAACTGAAATCACTACATGTATCTTAAATTAAAAAAAAACTTTGTTTATAAAAACTACCATAATATCAGGTTGATTACACATACTTATACTTAGTGGAATGTAGATAATATTCTTACATATAAAGAAGTTGTTAGTTCTATTACCCCTTAAACATAATGGTTAGATTACCCAAACCGTAAAAAATACATCAAAAATCGGACGTGTACGTTTAATATATTTTAAAAATAAAATAAAAACTATAACCACCATCGGGCCTCGGTGACCACAGAACGAGATGCAAAATATACAAATACAAAACCCCGTAGACGTCTTTTAGACTAAGAAAAATTACAACATAATTTTATAGACGTTCTTTTGGTCTCTGAATGTACACATAACTCGCTGGGTGCACCGGCCTACGATATAATTTCTCTTCTATTGCCCGCGTCCACAGGTTCACCACGAAGAGAGCTAATGACTACAAATTATTTCCGACTTCATTACGATGGGATGTGTCTCCATACATTAAAGCTTATTTTCCAAGCTCGAAACTCACAACTTGGTCGACACCTGCCTAATCATTCGAAACTAGCACGACGCTCGCCTGAACGTCACTAATGTTGTATTATCTAGTGCCCGTCACATATTCATCATTAAAATAACGTAAAATTTATTATGTAGGACTTTTTTAAAATTATATACTTCGACATAAACACACGGTGAACCAAAGACGATATCTTACAAGAAAGCAGTCATTTCGAACGTTGAGGTAAATAATATTCTTATTAATCCTAAACAACCCTTACTTAATGATCGACATCATTATTATAATTATTGTAAAAAAAAATGTATACACGCTTATCGACTAATATTGTACGTATAAAATTGTTCTGTTCTTAACTAAACGTGACCTAATGTTAATGTAATAAGAACTTAAAACTAAGTAAAGCATACATTCATATAAATGATTATTTTATTATACACAAATATCGTATTTTGTACTGTAAGGTTATGTTTGTCGATGGTGCGCAGAGCCGAGCTATTCTACAATCAGCTCGGACGTAAAAATATAATATTTTTCTTATCTGTACACTTTGTAATGAATGGCAACACATAACTTAAAATAATAAAAACTACCTCTTGTTCGATCTAGCTGCCTACATAAAATAATAATTGTACTTTCGTATTTGTGATATACCTGTGACACATCGTGAGATTTTAAAGTTATTATTAATAACACTTGCTGTAAATTTGATTTTATTCATCAGATAATATGATATCATAAATGTAAAGTAAATAAAACCCTAGATAACACGACTACGATTTTGTTATTTTGACGAAATTAAAAAATTAAGAACAAGATTCTCCGGATTTGTTCAATGCAATATTTAATGAGCCGTTTCACGCTTCATTAAAGAGTATAATGCAGTGAAAAGTCAGGTACTTTTTAACCGACTTCATTGTTAATCTGATGAACTGTAGAGTATACGAAAGGATACACAAAATTATTAGGGAAAAACGTACAAAATAATATAAAATGTTAACAATGTTCATATCTGGTTTGATCACAAAACGTGATTAAAACTTCATGACGTGTCTAACTTGGATACAGTATAATTAAATTTGTGAGATATGTGTGGATTGTATAAAGGCGGTTTAACAGCGCATATGGAAATGGGCTTTAATAGTTTCTTGTTTAAAATTGGGGTGTGCACATAAGGGCAAACTTGATTTACATTTTTTTTTTAAATAAAAGTCGATATCGTCGAAGAATATACAACGTTAAGAATTTAACTAAAACCCAAATGTCTTCCTAAAAAGTAACATAAATATTAATATCTCAATATTGTTTATACTAGTTATCGCTTCAAGGCCTTATAAATTATTGTAAAGAGGCTTTCATCCCATTGCTATTATATAAATGCGAAAGGTATTGTTTGTATTTTATTAATTTATGCACATAGTGAATTAATAAGTTTTAATAATTTGCACATTGAGGTATAAGAACTGTCAATAATTAAAATCTTTTAAGTCCATGCAGATGAAGTCGTCAGCAGAACCTAGCAAAGGACATATGAAGTTATCTTATTTTTTTTAATAATAAACCGTTTATTCAATTTCCTCAACAGTATTTTGTTATTAAAGTTACGCATTTTCTTACGCGTGAAATTTGACCATTGGTTTAACTAATAAAGGTAACTTTGACACTATTCTGATAGCAAATTAGCCACACAAAATACTAAAGAGTCCAATTCCAGCAAGAAGGAAACCATTTATATAACTTTCTAAAATTTATAAATAGTAGTGTAAAATATCATCAAAAAAATGGGAATAGGTATGGTGCCGGGGTAAATTAAACGAAATTCTATTTAGTCAGATAGATAATCAAAAATAAATAATTTATGTGACACAATTAAGTATTCGATGTTGCAAACCGTTTTAACCTATCAAACGGTGTGTCTTTGTAAAAACATTTAATTCGACCAGTTCACTGCTACACATGTAGCCGAAACACAACGTGTTCAGTCCACTAATCGACTACTTCAATCAATCAATAGGTATAATAATATGCGTGCGACACCATTGTCGCTTCACCAAGATACGAAACGACCGACAACCAATGAAACGACGAAAGTTCCATCAGCTCAACCATATTTAATGCATATTTACAAAGCTATGCAATCGTTCACATGGCACCCCGTGCACAAGTGACACCATTTATTGTACCTCTTTAATGTTACACACCCTGTTTGTATGAATTAAGATACACAATATAAATTAACATACTGCAAACTCGAGTCTATTATTTACTTATATATTTTCCTACGGATGCTTCAGTCTTTGGAAATTGTGTGGTGGAATGTGCAAACGTCTGTTCGACGCAACAGTGCAAATAGAGGTAGGACCTCTTAAAAATATCAAATCACTTTAACGCTAAACTAAATTTCGGAGTGTACTCCGATAATCTCATGTTTTAAAGACGAATTTGATTTTTTTCCTTAAATACATTTAGATGCCCTCTTTACTTGTATATCGATATCGGGTCATCATCTTAAACTGCGCTTCAAAACCGCAATAAAAATTCTCAAAAATAACATTTAAAATCGATCAAGAGCACCGTATAAATACTGACGATAACCTTGGGCCGTTACATCCGATTCTAAACCTGCCATTCTTATTATTTTATCCTGCTAACGATTGAAACTAAGATATAAGTCTACACCGTACGTACCTAGGGATACAGAGTATAATGTATATAAACTAATACGTATACGTACTTACGAGTAATATGGTCGACAGCACTCTGTGAATTAGAGCAAGGTTTATGAATTTCGCCATGTACATGGTGCCATAAAGAAAAGCCAAAAAGTCATCTTTCTATTCAGTTCAAAAGAAAGCAATAAACTTTATAATCACAAATGTCATAAGTTTTTCAGTTCCAAAAAAATAATCAAAATGATTGATACACATAATAAATTACGACTTCATTGTTTATAGCTTATTTTTGAACTTGTAAAAGTTCGAAAATGAGCTATAAAATAGGCTATGTTTTGTACAAACACAAAAAACTATTTTTTGTTTAAAACAATATACAAAAAACGAAATCACTGCCTTTGTCTTCTTTTTAGTAAACAAGCGTGACAGTGTCATCTTTCAACAGGTTATAACTGTAGTCAACATTTTGTAATAAGGAGGTTTAGGTTAGCGTTTTCCTTGAAATGAATAGAAAGAATTCAACTTGTCTTACAAACTTCTTGAGACAAACCATCCACTAACAAACTTGCGCAGTAGACTATTTGTATGTAAAATTGCTACTGCGCAGGCTTCGTCGTCTAAGGTATACGTCGTCGTCTCAAGTCGTTTCTTCTTGTATAAGTGTTTGTTTTATTTTCTAGTTTATTTTTGACACCCTATATAGGTACATCGCGTATTATGAGTAGTATGATTGAAGTATGTAGAGTGACGTTTTTTGTCACCCCGTATACATCATGTATTATAAGTAGTATGATTGAAGTATGTGGAGTGCCGTTTTTTCGTCACCCCGTACACATCGCGTATTATGAGTAGTATAATTAAAGTATGTAGAGTGCCGTTTTTTTGTCAACCCGTACACATCGCGTATTATGAGTAATATGATTGAAGTATGTAGAGTGCCGTTTTTTTGTCACCCCGTACACATCGCGTATTATGAGTAGTATAATTAAAGTATGTAGTGTGCCGTTTTTTTGTCACCCCGTACACATCGCGTATTATGAGTAATATGATTGAAGTATGTAGAGTGCCGTTTTTTTGTCACCCCGTACATATGGCGTATTATGAGTAATATGATGAAGTATGTAGAGTGCCGTTTTTTGTCACTCCCTATAAGGAATAGTATGATTGCATGAGTGCTGTTTATTTGTCGCCCCTTATTATGAGTACGTAGTATGATTGTCGTGTTTAGAGTGGCGTAACGTTCACATTTTATGGTATTTGGTTTTGAAGACGCCCTTCTTCCAATAGCACTGCTGCGTGAACATCCTGAAGAGGTGCGTGGGGTCCGCTAGATCGGGGCGCGCGCACACAATGTTGGTCGTTAATCATACGGTCGGCGGTTCCGCTTCATGTTTGCTGAGCGGTGAATCGGGGCGATGCAAATCGTCCAAGTTTGGTATCGGCTCGGCGGTGCTCGATGGTGGTAAGCTGAAAAAAATTTTCAAATTTGAGACCTGTTCCATTTAAATGTGTGGTTAAAAAATTGTCATTATAATGCAGGCGAAAATACAGTAGTTATAGGTTCGAAATCTCATTTAAAATCATGTGGAAATGTCATAGAGCAACACGAGCAATGAGCATAGAGGTATAAGAATAGAGCGAGGAAGGCGGCTCTAAAAGTGTCCGTCTAGTAGAAAGAAGATGAGAGACCGCTAGCTATCTCTCTCTCTTGTGACGCATGGCATCAAGTGGCATCACATCGAAATAGTAAGATGCTTACGGTTGCCAATGCGCATGCGCGATTAGAGAGAGAAAGCTGGCGGTCTCTCATCTTCTTTCTTTTTCTATTAGAGGGACACTTCCACTTGTAGTAGAGTCTATATCTCCCCTACTCTATTCTTATACCTCTATGGCAATGAGGGTTTTCCGGAATTACGGGACCAGTTGGCAGCACTAAGACGAAAGGTCTACTCATCCGTCAAGTCACTTATCTCATCATAGCCTATGATTTAAATGCTCGTTCGATTAAATCGGGACAAAATTTTCATACAAAAGATCTCATGTCACAGTGGCGCACACTGGTGACGTAAATTTTCCTAAACACCTTCATTGGGCATACATAGAAGTTAATGTAACCGAATTTTAGTTTTTTTTTTCAATATGTGGTTAGAGTATTCGAATTTCTATAAGGTCGATAAAACAGTATCCTTTATGTCGTAATATTATTGAATAATACTGTGGGGTATGTAGTAGTAGAGCAACACGTGGAATTGGATATATACAAAAATTAATGTAACCCAATTTGATAAACCTTTCATTAAAATCTATGGTTAAAGTTTTCTCATTTAAATAAAGTCAAAAATACAGTAAAATCCTATGTCAATCATATGATTGACATAGGATTTTACTGTATGACATACGACATTTCCATATGGAAATGTCGTAGATAAACACGGACAACTGAGCGTATACAGAAATTAATGTTACCCAATATGAATTATATGGTAAAAAATAATGTCATAACAATAAAGTCATAAATACATGGCAAAACCGAAATCAGATTAAAAAAAAAGAACAAAATTCAATATCAATGTCAAAATGTCGTAGAGCTGACCGAACACGGACAACTGGGCATATACAGAAATTAATGTTAACACACAACGGACTGTGATGGATTTTCCATCATCAATTAGATAATTTTTCACAAAGGTTTCCATATGTAATAATAATATCTATAAGCCGGAGAACAAAATCTTTTCTCTGAAGCGAAGCGAACATGGATCACTATATTGTTTTCCGGAAACAAGTTAGTACCTACGACAGCTAAGCTTTTCTGTCATTGGCTATATTGTATTGGTGTCGTTGCGCCGGCAAATGGATATATTTCTCGAGCAAAGTAGTTTCTCTGTCTTTATCTTTTTCTTAGAAGTCAAAATCGCTTACGTTTGTGTAATAAAGAAAGCGCTCCACTGACTCATTTCCGCGAACACAGTACGTACGTACGTCACAGTCAGTTTCAATTTATCAATCTCCAATATAAAGTAAGTTTATTCTGGATTCATTTCTTAGCAATAGTTGTTATTTTAAAGAAATTCAAAAAATATCTAAGCAATTCAATACAAGGTAAATATTATACATTTACTATAATTACATAAAAAAATGAACTTATCTCGCAATGCCAAAGTGAAAATGAGTGCAGTAAATAAAATAAAGTTGCTTAGCACGGTTAAATTACGTAGCGTAAAAATAAACGGATCTTAAGACACGTTCGTATCAGCACTTTTATCACACGTTAGAGAAATAAAACCAATGGCACCGATTGGTAATGTAATGTTTGCAGAAGCGCTTCGGAGATTTTTTTTTAGAATAATCGAGTTACTTTATTATTTGTGCTCTAAGCGTTATAGCGTTAGATTTAAATTGGTAATACAAATCGAGACTCGTATAGTTAGAAACACTAACCACTGGATTGAACGCGTTCTGAAAATGCGCTCGTACAAACCTTTTAAGTATATGACTCTACATTTTGTCTTGCAGAGTACATGCATGGCAAGACGACAAAGAACCTGACCTGAAATCTATTAAACTGATTTGCTATACAAAAACCGGTTCGCGATAGCCAAACTATGATAAAGTCACCTTCAGCCTGTCTGGTAACAATAGTTGTTCCACAAGTTTCCACAAGTGCCTCCTCTGTCGATCGACTTTAACTATCTACTCTATGAAGTTAGCAAGTAAAGATTTCCGAGCTGTACATTTGTGCTCTTCTGTCTCGACCAGTGCGGGAAAGAAGATACCATATCTTTGTTTATAAATACTATTATATTATATTTAAACAATATAGGATGCCCTCCGCTTTGAACGCTACATATAAAGATAATAGTCATGGAAATTACAATATTCGCAGCACATATTGCATAATCTTAAGTCGATTCGCTTGGTATCTTTTAAAAGACAGCTTATAACTAGAATCCGCATGTAATAGCATAATTATCATGTTTATTGTCTGACAACCGCAACTCAGTCACAATTTTGTGCTAATAGACATTTTGGACATTATTCCCTTAAGCTGGTTAATCATTAATATTTTTGGAGATACTCCTAAACGCTGTCGTAAGTGACAGGCTACATGGATTGAAAAACTAAGAACCAGAGAATATCACGAGTTATTCAAAATAATTGAAGTAAAAATAAAAGCATAAATTGACACCTAAAATTCGCATGGCAAACTTTAGACACACGAAGACGCTGAGCATTCTTATATCGCTAAACATTAATCAAAAATACAGATCGCTAAATCACCAAATGCGTATAATAATAGCGAAAATACATACTTGTCAATGTCCTTGAAATCCATGTTGCCGATCGAACCTTCGGTACGCCATATTGCCATGTTGGGAACTCTAAAAAAACACATATAAATTACCGAAACATAGGTATTATATAGTAAAATAAAAATTTATTTGGAAGGTCTAACTAAAATCATGCAATAAAAATATCGTTCATAGTTATATATATATTGGTCAACCAGGATTAGAGCACGCTAAATCAATAACAAAAGGGCGCAAAAACGGACTACAGAGTTAATAGGACTTAGCGGGCTGAATGTCTTAAGTTGGCACTGCAAACTTAACAGACACCAATTTCATATAAAATTAACACCGATGTTTGCAGATTTCTTATCAGGGTCGTGAAACACCCAAACACATATGTCAACGTGGGCCTCTTATCCATAAACTTAGTATTACATCTGCAATGGCATATAATACGCCCAGAAGAAATTAAATCTTTGAAACCAGAAACTTTTTGAGCTTCTTGGGAGTTGTCACGTTATAAGAGATACTTTAAGTTAGGGACAAGATACAATAGATCTTTTAGGTCGCAGTGACTACAACTACACAGAAAATTCCATTTATTGACACAGACAGTATTGCATTTCAAAACCACACTAATTTAAAGAGTGTGTAGGATCAATGTAGCTACTTAGCAATCGAAACCTATGACATAAATGGACACATATACATAGCATTGCATAGCTCCGAAAAATAATTAATAATAATAAATGAGTCCCACCATGGCGCACTGTTTAGACGGTTATTTTTTTTAAGACTAGCTTCGACTGTCGGTGCATTCTTAAATTTTGATAAGAAGTTCAACCACTCCAAGCAGTTCAATCATTGGACTATTGACAGGACATGATTGAATAATCGTAAAGCTTAAGGATACATCGAAACCTTTTTTTGAAAACACACAACCTGCTAATTTTTAATTCACATTGTACCATAAACATTTTTTTTAAACTGATATAATGCAATACACTGAAAAAAAGTCCCTGTTCTTTTCATATAATAAGTCTTGCGAAAGAAATGTCATATTATATTACGTATAGTAACAAGATACTGAATCACCTCGTTTATTTTAAAATACTGACCTGACTCATATTCAGGGACTAAATAATTCAAAAAACAAACGTTGTTTCTACATAAGTGAATTAATTCAGAGTATGTATGAAACAAGAATAACTGACACAATTTACAAGAACATCGCAACTGTCGACTGCCGGCTGTACCCGATAAACCACACCTATTTTATTTGCAACCGATTTGCTAACCCAAACCTATCTCTCATTTGCATTTGAAACCAATTTGCTAACCCACACCTATATCATTTGCAATAACAACCGATTTATTAACCCACTCCTATAATAATTTGCAATTGCAACCGATTTGTTAACCCACAAGTTCTTATTTGCAACCGATTTGCTGACCCACACCAATTTGCTAACCCACACCTATCTTATTTGCAACCGATTTATTGACTGCGTTACGCATCCGCTGTCCAAAAAATACGCATTATGCGCCGCTAACTACTCTTCATAGAGCAACAAACAACACGATAGACACCCTAGATACTGTTCTGAGCTACGATAAAAATACTGCTTTATTAAAAAAACTATACTATCCGATTTAGCAAGACCATTGATGCTTGCGATACCAGACTGATTATCACTCGCGTAATGCCTGCCCATATTAGTGAAGGAAATCATCATCATCATCAGCCTATTAATGTTCCTATTGCTACGACACAAAGAAAAACTAAGACATTGAGAATTGGCAGTTAATCTAACCAATAAAATAAAATAAAAAAAATGGTTGCCTGTAAAGTCGGTTTTACGGGCGAAGATTTTACGTGACAACGTCTTTTTCTCGGTAGAATATTTATTGATATGAATATAATTAAATTGCACAATAGGAACAAGGAATTGAATGAAAATAAGAATTGCACAAATTTTAACTATAGAAATATATTTTGTTTACTAAAACATTGTACATGTAAACTTAAACTTAACACGAGAGACTCATCGTAACGTTACCGAGCGTTACACTTTTTCATAAGTGACTCCCAGCCGCAACCTAATTTAAGACGTTGTCACGTCAAAATAACTCTAGAACTAAACAGTATACAAAAATAAAAACTTTTACTATGCAATATTTTTAATGTCATACTGTATACGTACCGACATATGCGTAATTTATATGAACTCCGCTTGCGCCTGATGCGTAACACAGAAAATTAAATTTTATTGACACAGGCAGTATTGCATTTAAAAAAACTACACTAATTGAGTGTGTAGGATGATTGTAGCTAGCAACGAGCACGTAAAACCTTTATGTTACGGAACTTTACGGAAACCTTTACGTGTGACCTACACATGTATGTGCTTGGACGTTTCAATAATTATTCGTATTCGTAATAAAATAACACACATACATAGGAAGGACATCATATCATTGGACAGCGCGTGTGTGTGCATGTGTATTGGAAATAATATAATACTCACTTGTCAGCATCTTTCATATCAGCATTGCCCATCAATCCCTCACTGCGCCATTTCACCATATTCTGCACCCTAGAAATCAAGGAGCAAAACTCAAATCAATAGATCAAAATAGTAACTTATTTTCATAAATGGTAGCACGTAGACACGTCAATTTATTTCAATGCGTTGTTAAGTAACGTGCTGTTTTTCTCTACTACTATTGGAAAGGAAACGTTGTTCGTAAACGTAAATGTATGCGTAGTCGGCTACGCAACGAACGCGCAGTTTGTATGTAAGGTTACCATGTAACATGTACATTGGTATGAACTAAATAAAATTTGACATTACAATTTAATTCGTACTTGATAACCAGGTTAATGGAATTGTCGGTCATTGGATGACCAAATATGTACTATCTTGAGCTCCTCCGTGCATCTGCAGTCGTTAACTGCCACCAATCTGCATTAGCACTTTCAAATGTCAAATTTGACATTTAACTTTTGCGATTTTCTCACCGGGTCGTTTCGCTTTCCTTTCTGTACCGAATATGTATACATTCTTTACTGAAAACCACTTCTAGACCGGCTCAGTTTCAGTACGGTTTCGTTTTGTTTGCTACGGTGTTTCATCATCATCATCATCATCAGCCTATTAATGTCCCCACTGCTGGGGCACAGGCCTTCCCTATGGATGGAATAGGGAGATTGGGCCATGACCCACCACGCGGGCCCAGTGCGGGTTGGTGGGTGCTAACGACTGCAGATGCAGCCGGGACCAACGGCTTAACGTGCCTTCCGAAGCACGGAGGAGCTCGAGATAGTAAATTTTCGGTCACCCATCCAATGACCGACCACCGCGAAAGTTGCTTAAATTCAACGATCGCAGCGGAACGCGCTAACCACTTGCGCCATCGAGCTCCTCTGCCCGCCTGCTACGGTGTTTGTCATTTGTTAAAATGCCGTCACGTCGGGCGGGTGAGTCGATAGTTCAGTAGGATTGTGTGCGCTCGGTAAAGAATCTGTACAAATTCGGTGCAGAAGCGAAAACCAAACGATACCGATCCGGTGAGAAAGGCGCCTTACTGTCAATAAAGTTAGGTGGTAGCCCCTCTGAACCCTATAATAATAATCTTGAGCTAGTTTTTCTCTTTTCATGGAATCACAAGTGTCATTTGAATTATATAAACAAAAGACGACGTAACTAAAGAAGATTCTATTACCAAAAATTGAGATATGTAAGTAATATTTTTATTTTTAAACATTCAACTGCTACATTTTTAATCTAAAGAAAAGTTTTACTAGAAAAAAATCCACGTAGACCAGGCAGCAGACGGGGCTCGAACCCGAACCCTCCGCTATCCGAGCGGATGCACTAACCATTATGCTACCGCGGCTCTAATTGTCTGTGTCGAATTTTATCTATTATTTCTAAGGCTGCAAGGCAGCTCAAGTACAAGACTTGCACTTATGCTTAGTAGGTATTAAGAGAGTAAATACTTATTATTATCAAAATAATACATACAGTATGCAACAAGAACGATAAAAAAATTAAGTTTTCATTTTCTGTATGAATATTAAACAGTATCGGAGTTAGGTACAGTAAACTGAAATTATGTCAATAGTAGTAGTAGTTTTGCTAGAGGTAATTGTTATAACTCTATATCAATTACCTCTATCAAAATCGTACAAAACGGATTTTCTCATAATTATAAGTACCGATTCCATAATTTTAAGCAATACCAAACCACAAAGGAAACGTAAAAAGCTCTGTATTAATATAAAAAAAAAACATAACGACAAGCAAAAGCAAAGAACTTACCTTTGTTCTACAGTAAACTCAACCTTTGATGAAGTGAAAGAGAAATTTAGTAGTTTAAATAATAAATATAATACCGATACATACACATGTTTCATCTGATCGCCTTGGTTGCTGAGTTGCGCAAGATACGCCGCCTGTTTACGGTGGTGATACATATGGACTCGCAGGCACGACGGATTCCGCATACGTTTCTGACAAATGTCACATTGAAGCGTCCCTTCCCTTGTGTCGTGCTTATCCCTAATGTGTACTTTCAGGTTATAGCGATTCGCAAAGAACCGGTGGCAAGACGGACACTTCACGCCGCGCAACTTCACTCCGCCCGATTTGGTGTTCCAACCTAAAGTCAATTCTAACTTAACATCGCCTCATCATTTCTGGCCAAAGCACAGAAATCATAATTCGATTTAAAGGAAAACGAAATAATGAAACAACAAATAATAAAAACAATCATAATGCGAAAATATTTTTGTTGATAAGCATATAAATTTATAATTAAAAATACATATTTTCAAATAAGAACAAATTAAAAGGTTTAAATAAAATAAGAAAATAACTATGTTGTTAGTGTTTTAAAAGACCAGTGAAACTTACCTGATTCACTAGCAGACTCTGGCAATACCATCACACTATGAAATAGATCGTTGTCGAAGTCAATTAGCGGTTCACTGCAAAATATTTAAATAAAAACAAAATAAAACAAAACTGAACTCAAAGTAAACATTGAGTAAAAAAAGTATGTAAAATTTAATTTGCTGAACTAAAATTAATGGTGTTCTTCTACTTGTTTATTTACATTAACAGATATTTTTATAGCAATTAGTTTTATAATCAACACTGAATAAATCAAAATATCTGTTAGTAAAACAGTTATCAGAGTGCATATAATATGTAATCTAATCTACACATGTAGAAAATTTTCCAGATCACATTGAAACACTCACTTGTCGTATGAGAAGTCAGAGTTTTCAGCATGAGTAGGGCTGTCATTAGTAGCGGGTCGTGGCTTCTTTTTAACATTGTAGCTGTTCTTATTTGGGGTGTTTTTCAACAATCTGTATATCAAAAAGTCTATTTTAGTAAGTGTTGTGTTGTGTCTATTGAGTGATATTTTACGTCAATCTATTTAGCAATAAATTACAATATAATAGAGGAAATTTTACTAAGATGAAATTAGTTTTTAAGGTATATGTCTGGTAGCATAATTCAAGAGATAATTAAAAATATCAATACATTAAATTCAATTTAATTTTATTAATGTTCGGCCAACGCAACGACAAGCAATGGCGTCGTTTATAGAATATAATAGAACTTTGAGAGCAAAACAATAGTCCACACCGAAGTAAAGTTAGGGTGAGTCACTCTGTTTATAAATAAAAAAATACTTAAGATGATATTATCTTCAATAATTATAATGCAATACAAATGAAAGAATGACTGCAAAGTTATGATGATTTTCAATACCTACTTTAAACGATATGAATGAAGAATAAATTAAAATTAATAAGTTTAAATAATGAATCATCATGATGGATAAAAGATATTTAAAAAAAAATTGAAAGACATACACAGACCGTTTCAGTGGGCTTCTGGCTGCTTCTTCTTTCGTATTTGCGACATTGGGTTCAGCAGGTGTTTCTGTGGCAATGGTGTCCTCTCCACCAGGTACCCACTCTTGTTGACTATCACTAGATGGCTCTGGCATAACTGGTTTTGATTTTGGAGTATCTTCCAACACTGGTGGCGGAGATTCACTTCGCTGTAAATGGAGATAAATTAAATAAATAACTCTTTTTATACATCTAATGTTAAACTAATCTACAACTGAAACAATTAACTAAGGTATAAAGTGATTTTTAAATAAAATAAAAGATATCTATTATATTATTAATAATTAATACATTATTATTTATTAATGAATTTAACTATGCCAACAAAAGAGTCATACATCGAGTGAATGTATGTGTGTTATCATTTCTTTACAGCTTACTAGCGACCAACCGTAACTTTGTCCACATTAACTTTCATTTTTTTAGAATCCCACAGAAACCTCACATTTTTATGGGATTAAAAGAATCCTACGTCTCAATCCAGGTCAAAACTAGATGCATACCAAATTTCATCCAAATCTGTTGTTGTTTAGGTGTGAAAGCATAACCAACAAACAAACTCATTTTTGAATTTATGAAATTAATTAGGAGGCAGTAAGAATGATATAAATTGTAAATAGATGTTAAAAAACCTACACAATGTGAATCATTGATAAAATATTGAAAAAAAAAAGAGTTGTTACCTCATGACCACCAGTTAAGCCCTTGACTTGTAGGAGCTCAGCACTGTGCAAGAACCCTGACAGTTCTTGTTGACGAACATGCACTTCACCACGATACATGAATTGAAGAAGTTGCCTGAGCTCTTGGTGAGCCACATCCTTCAGAATAACTATAGGGTGGTCACATGGATTCATCTGCCAAAAAAACCCAATGGATAACATAATAATAATAATAAAAAACAAAGGATAAACAAACATAAATTGAGTCAAGTGTTGACAGAGCAAATAATGTTACAAAAGTTTAAGGATATGCTAAACTATTTTCCTATATAATTTGTGTTATGTGTATGTATATTAAAAATATAACAATAAACAAATAATCTCAAAAAGAAAATCTGCCACATCTAACAGAAACTAACCAAATTTTATATATATTAATAGTACAGGATGTTGGATAACTTAAGTTATGTTATTTTTTTCGTGAGTTCAATTCTACTGTATTTATTTGTAGTACATAATAAAACAATAACAGTTTGATAAAAAAAATTAGAAGTGAATCAAAACAATTGCAAAGATCTTTAAAATAAGTAAACTAGAATCAATATATTTAAAATACTGCTTACTGTTATAATTATAATCAGAAAAATGGTTTAATTAGTTAAAATGTTCCAGTCGCACCATAACACATTACTAATGTGTATATAATCAATTATTATTTGATCAATAAGACCAATAATTATTAAAAAATAAGTTCTAAGTATACAACCAATAATAAAATCATTATTAACAACACTAAATGTACCAAAAACCAATGTTGCTGCAAATTATTGCAATTATGTAACAACTTTCCAAATCATTCAGCAAACCATAATTGAACTATCATTATCATGACATGCATAAAATTACCAAATATAATTTTAGTACATTAGACAGACCAATTTTCATCCTTAACTAAAAGGTAGTCTATTTATTATTTACAAATCAATACTATTAACAAAATAATTGTTATCAACAATATGCATTTCAGTGACCATTTGCAATGAACACAAAGCATTTTATCTATAATGTAAACAAACAACACTATCTATCAGTGTTCTGATTCCTTTAAGGTACAAAGTATTAATTTAAAACCAGAATCAACTATATTTTTTTTCAAATGAATATGAGGAAAATACATTAGCAATGAGTCACACCTTGAAAAGCTCTTTGAAGTATGGACTGCAGACTGAGAGGATGAGTTTGTGTGCGTGAACGTATTGGCCACCAGCGGCCAGCGTCACATCCACCAGATCTTCGCCTTCTAAAAGTGCGTGGAACGACTGTGATAGATTTGAGTGGAAGTCGTTCCATCGCAGTGAAAACTGTTCAGGCATCGCCATCTCTCTCCGTGAACACCACTGCCACTAAAGACACGCCGACGCCCTATTCGCGACTAACTGTACACAACTTTCAGGCCTATGCGTCCACACAATGAAACATCGCAACTACTGAAAACCCGATACAAATAGAAATTTGCCCACGTAAACGATTGAATCTTAGCGTCACATAGGAGTTTACGTCCTAAATAATCATTTTTAACTATACTGCAACGCTTTTTGGCCACGACACCCGCGAATAATTACGTACGATGTGAAACAAATAGATAAAGGTACTTTACAATGGCATGGCAATACATGGAAAAAATAATCAAAATGTCGCTTGATCGCTGCTCCACAGTGTTGCCAACTCGGATTTTGAAAAAGGCGTAGGCCCGATGGGAAAATTACGTAGAATTAGTAAATTTTGCATATGAAAAGTACGTAGATCTACGTACTTTTTTCTGAGTGAAATGAAGAAGTTAGGTGATACCGAATGAAACGAGTATTTTGTTATACAATTTCTTTATAAACGGGAGATAGAACAAAGAGTTCTTGGAGAAGTCGCTGCTTTGGAAGCATTTACCATGCTGTGGTAGACATTTACCATCAGACACAGACACTGGTGGGTGTCGATTCTGGCATGATTTTCTAAATTTAAAACTAAATTTAACATCAGTCTTTCCTTTTCATTCTGTATAGGTATAGATAGAATGACAAGGATACACTGTTTTTCAATAGGCTAGTTGACACTTTTTGGAATTATGTATTAAATTGTTAATAATTGTTCTACCAGACCGATAAAATCATGTTGACTGTTGAGTCCTTGTCCTTGTCTTGGACGAATATTAAAAATAGGATTGAGTATAAGCCGCGCCAATAAAAAAACGAATGCATGCCATAAAAAAGAAAAAAAAAGTTCTTTTTCTTTTTTTTCGTAGAATCGAAAATGGCATCTATGTACCTGCACTTACAGATCAGGTAGGATCAACAAATAAAAAGAAAGATAGAAAGAAAAAGTTCTTCATTAGTTAATGTCGAGACAGTGCGAGAACAAAGTCAGAACTGATAATTTTTTTTGCATGCAGTACGCGCCGAGTGCAACTAAAGACAGCAATAGTTTAGAGTGAGAGCGCATGATTGCCGTTTTAGATTTTTTACGCCATTTTAGATTCGTTTCTTTATTGACGCGGCTTATACTTTTAACAGAAAAAACGGAACGAGTGAAAGTTAGAGAACCAAGGCCTTAGATCCCTTTCTTATTGGGTAACTCATGGGGTAGGGTAATCTTATTTTAGGATTTCTGTGATACTCCCTTTTTTCACGGATAATATTGAAACACTTGAATATTTCTTCTTTGTAATGTTTGCTCTATAATTTTGTTGTACTTACCTAATAGGCTAGTTGACCCTTTTTGGAAAAAGGTTTTAAATGATTAATAAATGTTCTATTAGACCGAAAAAAAATGTATTGTATTTTTATGAGACCTAAAAAGCTACAAATCTTTAATTTTAAAATAGATTTTTCATGGACATACAAAAACGCTATCGGCCATTTTAGTCTATAGATTGGTGTCAATTCTGGCGTGATTCTCTAAACTTAAAACTAAATTTAAGGTCAGTGTCACCTTTTCATTCTGTATAGAGAAGGACAAGGATGCACTGTTGTCAAATTTAAGTTTAGCTTTAGAGAATCATGCCAGAATCGACATCATTATCTATGCTATGACGTTAATTGCAGTAAACACATAGAGAAAGGTAAATAAACAAAAACTCGTAAGAAAATAACTGACTTTATAATAAACAAAAGATGATTTCTAATAAATACCCCGAAAAATAAAGTAATTATCATTATTGTATTGTACGAGAATATAAAAACACATCCTTGAAGATTCCAGGAAAGTTGTGAATTAAAAGTGCCGAAAGAAATTAACCTACGCAACTTTATTACACTTATTCATATGTTGTATCAGTTTTATGTTTATTACTACATTGTAATACTGAATACACTGTACTTACATAGATGCCTTGTCGTTTCTCTGCTCCGCAGAGCAGAAATCGGGGTTTAGTGAAATAAATTCACCAACCATGAATGCGTCAATTCTTGGCAGATTTGTGCTTTCTGTTTTCACAAAGCCGGCATCCATAATTAGTTTTTTCAAAAAGAAACAGTAAACGTAAACTTTTCTAAAGTTAAAAGTGTTTTATGATAAATTAAGTCAGACGAAAGAATCCACCCACAGTAACACGCGAATGACATTTAGTTGTTTACCATATGAGACGTCACAATCATGGCGGATGTGGCGAATAGCGTTTTTAGTGTTTAAAAAATATAGACCAAAAAATATTTTTTAAAATTAAATTTCTACAGCAATCTTCTGCTTTTATGAAGTGAAATCAATATATTTAGGTTCCTGAGTCCAAATACTTTAAGAAATAAACATTTATTTAATACAATTCGACATGAGTCAACTAGCCTATTATGATAATTGATGAGTTTTGATTTTACAGAGTTTAAGTTTATAAGAATTAGTATAGGTTTCCCCCATAGTATAGGTCGAATTGGTGAATGCGGAAAGATTTATGTAGCATTTAAAATTATAGCAATAAGATGAGTCATTAAGAGCTCTACGTACAATCCATCCTGAAAAAAGAGGTCCTGAATCTTCATCTTTTTTACGTGTATAGCGCTGTCTCGCTCGGTGGATCAAGCAGGATGGATAGTGCATAGATCTCTTCAGAATAAGTTTTATCAGTATTCTATAATGATACGAAAATAAATATAATTGAATATAACTAATGGACGATAGATTTCGCTTCAAACTAACCAATGATCGTGTCGTTCGAGCACATACAGTAAGAAATTACAATGAACTTGATTAATGCGCAAATTATTATACACTGAATCTGAAATAATCCAATCTAATTTTGTGTTTTGTAGGTAAGCACCCGTTCACGAGCATGCCGCCAAAGCTACCTTGGCTTTGCTCTACCATATTTTAGGGAACCGGAAAGGGACCGTCAAGTATCAACACGAGTCGTTCAGTATTTTTATATGAAACTCCCTACTGCAACACACACTAATCAGAATCATAACGTATTCGCCTGGCCTCGGGATTAACTTCCGAGAGTGAGTGGTCATCTCTCCATACCCTAACCTACGTCTCTTCTTAGCCTTGCTTAAGTCGCTCCGTACCCTAGTGTGTCTCTTCGTTCACGACCCTTCCGCGACCTGCGTTACTGAACGTTCTGCCCAATTAGAAAGTAACCGCTCCGTACTTTCTCTATCACTGATCAAACTAGCCAGTGGTCGGCGAGTCGTTAGCGTCAGTTTTAGCCGATCAGAACGATCTGTTTATCCACTTCTAAGCGCATAAGCAATAGCGGGCGCCTGTTTGACGGCAAGTTGAAATGCGAGTCGGAAAGAATTTAAGTTGTTTTCGTTTTTAGCGTTTGTATTGACTGTAAGAAACAACAAAAGAAAATGGGTTATTGGCACGATTTTTTCGCATGCGGTTGGCGTCTCATTTAATTTATTCTTACATTTGTTCACAGTGGATATTGTGAAATAAAATTTGTGTGATTTTGTGTTACAACCATCAGAGTCAATGAAGAATTATTGGAATCTTTAAAACTTTACTGAAGTGTTGTATACCTCACCGAAACTTATCGAAAAAACTAAATCAATACATTACGTGCCAAACACTCCAAGAAATGTTAGAATGCGTCACACCGACATTCTAATGTAAAAATAGAAGGTAACAAATAATAAAACTTAAGACTTGGCCGTATCGGCTTTGTTCTTTTTGCTTTCCTAAAAAGAGAGAATGTTAAAAAAATAAACTCTTGCCCGTCCCAACCAAAGGGTACGGCCACAGTGCACTCAGATTCAGAATCAGATTCAGACTCAGAAAACAAGCGCGAGAAATATACAGTGTAGTTTAAGCAGGTTGCCTGCTGCCACTATGGCCAACCTGCTTTAACTACACTGTTTATTTCTCGCGCTTGTTTTCGGAATCTGAATCTGAGTGCACTCTGGCCGTACCCAAAGACTTTCTAAGTCCCAACAGGGATAAATTGACCAAAAAAAGTAGTTTTTGGCGGGATTTGATCGAGTGTGGTATGCGTCTTATTTTAATTATTCTTAAATTCGTTCATAGTGGATATTGTACAATAAAATTGGTGTGATTTTGTGTTACAACTGTCTGCGTAACTGAAGAATTAGTAGAATCGTCAAAATATACGCTATTCCGGTCAAGTGGAAGTGAGAATTTTATTGTAGTATTGACTACCTCACAGAAGCTTATCGAAAAAGCCAGCTCGATACATTTCGTGCCAAACACTTCAAGAAACATTAGAATGCGTCACACCGAGATTCTAATGTAAAAAGAAAAACAGAATAATTTAACTTAAGATTAGGCTGTATGGGTATTGTTCCCTTTGCCTCCCCTGAAAAGGGAGAATTTAACAAAAAAAAATTGACCATAAAAACTGTCATTGTCAATGTCACGCTGTATTGCGTGGAGTTGTCTGTCTGTCAGTGTCAGGGAGTTGTGTGAGTTTGTCCAAGTGTGCGGTGTAATCGTGATAAAAAAATATATTTTTCTGATGATTTAGTGTAATGTTTATCAAAAAAGTTAACGAGTAATCAAAGCTAGCAATAAAGAAAAGCAATAAGCTCTTAGTATTTAACAATTGTGAGGACCTATTATTTAAGTTAAGCATGTTATTTTAAACTAATGTTATTTTACTAAATTACGTGGATCACCGATATGTCTGCTCATAGTGCCCAGGATGAGGCCGAGGCCGATAGAGTTATAATGATGAAGAAGATACTCAGTGCAACATTTTATGCGTTAGCTTCATTCATGATAACAGTCGTTAACAAAACTGTTTTGACGACCTATGCTTTCCCATCCTATCAAGTTTTAGGATTGGGACAGATGATGGCAACAATATTAGTGTTATGGAATGGCCGATACCTACAATTAGTAGAATTCCCGCCGCTGGACAGCGGGGTAGCGCGCCGTATATGGCCCTTGCCAATCATCTATTTGGGAAACATGGCCACTGGATTAGGAGGTACGAAAGAACTTAGCTTACCTATGTTTACGGCACTTCGACGATTTAGTATTTTGATGACGATGTTACTTGAAAGATTTGTACTCGGCGTACGCGCATCATGGCCTGTGCAGGCTAGTGTCATAGCCATGGTTGGTGGTGCTTTATTAGCAGCTACAGGTGATGTTACCTTCTCAATAACGGGCTACACACTAGTCTTACTTAATGACGCATTTACTGCAGCTAATGGTGTATACATGAAGAAAAAATTAGATTCAAAGGAACTTGGAAAATATGGATTGAT